GACACACAGATTGACACACAGATTGACACACAGATTGACACACAGATTGACACACAGATTGACACACAAACAGACACAAGTAACGACATCCATGCAGACAGAAACAGACACAAACGGAGACAGCCAGTTCACAACCACACAGACAGACACAACGAACACAGAGAGAAACACACAGGCCATGCAATTAGTACAACAGTGCATATACACACATCAGCACATGGTCATCTACTATATATGTGGAATAAAAGTAAAAAAGATTAAATTGATATTTAAAATGACTTATTCTGACATCAGTACATTTTTAAACAATAGAATTGTTGAAAATACAAAATCATCCACCTCAGTTCTGTCAATACCTCTCAGTTCTTGTCTCTCAGGTTTCAAAGTCTTTATTGGCGTGACCGATGAATTTGTGTTTTCTAAACAATGACAACTAGCAATATATACAATATATTATTATAGTCAGTTTCTCCCCCAGTAGGATTGGAAGCTGTCCTGATTCTGGTAAGTGTGGGATTTATGGGGTTAGATCAGTTATTTTACTGATTAAAGTGCATCTCTGTTTCTGCCTCTCTCTGCTAACAGCTAGACCACAGCCTGTCCACTCTGGACAGCCAGGTCTGCCTGTGTCCAGTTTCTATGTCCAGGCTGTGGTAACTGAGCCTGTCCTCTCTGGACAGCCAGGTCTGCCAGTGTCCAGTTTCTCTGTCCAGATTGTGGTCACTGAACCTCTCCTCTCTGGACAGCCAGATCTGTCTGTGTCCAGTTTCAATATCCAGGCTTTGGTCACTGAACCTGTCCTCTCTGGACACCCAGGTCTGTCTGTGTCCAGTTTCTCTGTCCAGGCTGTGGTCACTGAGCCAGTAGTCTAAAGACTCGCACACATTGTCTCTCACTAGGAACAAGCAATAGGTTTATTCCATGCTGAAAAGAGAAGAAAGAAAACACAACGATACCAACCGATATCACCTCCACTTACCTGATAGACCCCAGAGAATATGGACATCAGCTTACTGAGCACAGCAGCGCAGATGCTGGCAATGTGGACGAATGGGCCCTGAGAGGACCGGGTGACACCGAGAGGAAGGAAAGACAGGTTAATGCACAGCAGCGGATACAGTGGACTCTCTCCGGCCAGCTGGGAGACACTGCCGGGAGACAGACGAGGCTTAGAAAGACAGATTGAGGGCGGGGGTTTAACACAGGCGACACAAACCACGCTGGCTGGTGGACACAACTGGGTGAGCCAAAGGATTGTAACTGGAAGGTTGCGGGATCAAATCCAGTTATGTGCTGCTGTGCCCCTGAGCAAGGCACTTTACTCAGATTGCTCCAGCAAGATACCCAGCTGTACTGTATATGCTGTATATATGGGTACAAATGTATATGTCTTCAGATAAAAGCATCACCTAGGAAGATTGCCTGAACTCTAACAAACACTGAACGTGCGCAGAAAGAGGATCAGGAAAAAAAAAAACAGCACAATGAATTAAGTGCTATGTTGCTTTCTTTCAAGAGTGATAGGGGCAAAGTGGCATCAGTCAGACCCCTCTTCCTAATCCAGCCTATCCGACAGCAGTGGTACTGGCTGACATTGGAATTGGGGATTATTTAACTACAGCAAAAAAAAAAAACAACACCACCTCCTTCCCGACTGGCATCCCGCTGCCCAGTCCAGCTGTCAGTCCCACCACCTTGGCAATGAAAGCCTTGAGAGTGAGGTATTCTTTAAGCACCACCCCTCTCAGTATGGTCTTCAGCTCCGGAATACCAGAGCCTGGGAGAGAGAGAGAAAGAGTAACAAAGACTCTTATATAGATGCTAGACACATCTAACACATGGAGATCAATACAGACCTAATACAGACCCTAAAGACACTCTTCACCCACAGAGATTAATACAGACCCTAGAGACACACCTCACACACAGAGATTAATACAGACCCTAGAGACACTCCTCAC